TGCGAGACGCCGTGGACATCCGTGGAGACATCCCGTGCCGCTCCTGCCCTTTTGGCTATACCTACCAGACCCCTCCAGCCCACCCCGAGCACCCGATTTTCGGGTTTGGGGGGACCTCCCAGGACGCACGCGCTGCTAAAAGGGCCACCCTCGCCTTCTCAGCAGGCCCCCCTCGCGCCCCCCCCCCCACCCCGCGCCACCAACCGCTGGGTCGTCGTCGTCGCTATCCTCCTGCTGTCCCATGCTTCTCTTGATGCCGCTGCTAACTATGCCTACCAGACCACTCCAACCCAACCCGAACACCCGAATTTCGGGTTGGAGGGGGTACGGACCTCATGTGCTTTTTCAGTGTTCCCCGACCCCCCCACACTGGAGATGGAGGGCAAATCGGGGCCTTCGGGTTGGGTTGGAGTGGTTTGGTGGGCGGTGATCCCTTCTCGACGGCTCCCCCAGGCCACACAGCCCGTCCCCTCCCAAGCTCGGAGCTCATCGAGGTAGACAGCCTCTTGCCTAGCGCGTGCGGGAGCTCCCGCGTGGGCAGCGGCGGCAGCAGCAGCCGGAAGCACGCAGAGGCCAGCCCCATCCACAGGTCTGCCAATGGAGGAACAAAAACAATATCAACCTAATGTCTTGGAGGTCCGAGCGGCTCTCCGAGGAATGAGAGCGGCGAACATATCCGTGACTGCGCCCTCGCGGTCTGGTATCTGGGGCGCGGTCCCCCGGATACGCCGTCACACGGATACGTTCCGCGCAAGGCATCCATGAAAACACACCTCGTATCCTCGGGGTCGCGGTCCAATAGCCCGGTCCGCGAGGCCGCGGATACGGACATGTCTTTCGCCCACGATGTACGCTGCTTCTTCGGGTCAAGGCACTGCTCCCTTGCTCCCTGGGACTGCGCGTTGCCAGATGAGCGACGGAAACAAGCGGATCTCACACAAGATGGCATGGCGAACCTACGCGGTGGCTCACGCGGGCCGCCAGGGAGCCACGCTACAGTGAAGACGGGGGCGCCTGCGCGCGACTTTACGCGGACAGCTCACGCGCCACTGTCGCCGCAGAAGCCCCCGTTCCCAGATCCCCGCGTCACGATGTTGTTCACGACGTCGACCCCCGGAGGTCTCGGCCCGCTCCCCCCGGGGACCCGCTTGGAACCCGGAATCACTACTTCACGGTCCCGAGGCCCAATGAGGGCCCCAGAGTCCGAGAAGTGCGGAAAGCCTCCCGTCGTGCTGTTCCTCCGTCGCGCAAATGCTCGCCAACGTTAGGTCGGGCATGTCCTCCTACAGGTGGATAGTCAAACAATGATCCAAACATCGAAAACGGTCCAAAAATCGTCCCCTAAGTATTGTTGACTATCTCTGGAGATTCTCCCCTGCAGAGGGACATGCCCGACTTTAAAAATGGCGGAACACCTCCCGTCGTGCTCTTCCCCCGTCGCACAAGTGCTCGCGAACGCCCCCACGCGGGCGCTGCGGCCCCTCCGCCAGCAGACCCTGCCATACATCTGCTGCGGCCCCTCCGCTGGCGGAGAGCGCCCGCGCTGCCGCTCGACTCTTCCACCGGCCACCGCAGAACGGACACCAGACGTCGGCCCGCATCGTGCACCGCGTCTGCGGTGGCAACTCTTGGGAGCCTCGCAGATCTAGAAGAAGAAACCCGCCATAAACATAGACTCTTGGCGCTCCGCGCGGATTTCTTGGATCTTCGCTCAAACCCCCCTCCCTGGCGCGCGGAGCGCGCCAGGGACCCCAGCGCGGATCCAAGAAATCAGCTCGGAGCGCCAAAAGTGTATGTTTATGGCCTATGGCGTTTTGCTTCTTCGAATATCATCTTGTTGGCCCTGGCGAGTCGAGGCTAATCGACGCTAGTCGACGCTAATCGGCTCCAAACCGACGCTGACCGACTCTGCGACTACCAGACGCCAGTCGGCGCTGTCGCACTCTGAAGGCGGAATCACAAAGATGCAAAAGACTCTCATGATTTGCAACCGAACGCGCGGGTGCCGCAGGTTGAGCCGAAGCGCCCAACAATCACAAGCAAAAAGTGAAACAATCAAAACAAGTGTGAGACAATGCATAATGAAAAAGACTCACACACATGACCTGTGTAAGAGGTAATCGACGGCCGGCCGCTCATCGGACGATGTCGAGAATTTGCACAGAGCCAGGATCTGGAGCTAAGAGCCAGGATCCTGCCAGAGTCGTCCCGACCTGTGCTGTTTGTTTTCCCCGAAATGGGCCGCTCCGCTGCGGCCAGTCAATCGGTGAAATCAAGCCTGGGCCGGTGTCTTGCCACAGAATCACATGCCCCTGGGCGCTTGAAAACTGGAACGTGGCCTGACCTGGGGCCACAGGACTGCCAACATGACTTCGGGCGCCGGGCAGTCTCTCCGATCTGCCAAGGGACATGCGTGGACCCGTGCGATCACGGTGCAAAGCTTGGGCGCCCCCCGATGCGAGCACCAGAGTCTCAGTTGTAGTCGTGCCTGCGTGCCCTCGCTGGAGGAGGAGGAGCAGGAGGAGGAGAAGGAGGAGGAGGAGGAGGAGGAGGTCAAGGAGGGAGGGGGAGGGAGGGTAACGAGGAGAAGGAGAAGGAGGCACTACCAACATGAACGAGTGCGCCGAGAAAGGGCACGGGAAAAGGTGAGACGAATGGAAAAGAATAGTACGCGCTACTCGGCAAGGAAGAGAGACAGGCGGCACGCACGACCAGCATCGGGCGGGCGGCCAGGCGAGACGAGCACATTCGAGCACTACGCACGAGAAGACAAGATGCGAGGCTGAAATGTGCAGGACGCCGAAGGGCGGCGAAGGAGCTACAGCGACAGCTCCTGAGGAAAACAGTCATGGCACAATCGCCGCCGGACGTAGTCCTGCGGAGGGCAGGCCGAGGAGAGGACAGGTCAAGGTCAGAGCCGTCGTCGCCCGACTCTGGGAAGTGTAACCTGCACCAAGCTCCTCGCTCGCACAGCGCGCAAACGATGTCACACTTGCAAAGGAGTTCCCAGGATTCCACAGCGATCTCCTGTGATTCGGTGGCTGCCCGCTTGCGCACGAGGCCACCAGCGCGACTAAGAGAAACGGCGGACGAGGAGGAGGAGGAGGAGGAGGAGGAGGAGGAGGAAGAGGCGAGATCACAGCCAGGCGGCACGCCCGACTCCTCCCCTCCCCGCTCACCGCCGCCCCCGCCGAAGCGAGGGGCGGCGGACAGGCCCCTAGGATGAGGAGGAGGAGGAGGAGGAGGAGGAGGTCAAGGAGGGAGGGCAGGGAGGGGAGGAGGAGGAGGAGGAGGAGAGGAGGAGGAGGAGGAGGAGGAGGAGGAGGAGGAGGTTCTCTCCAGCGATCCGGTGCAGCTGAGCCCGCCGCCGCAGCAGCGCCCTCCACTCCGGAGCGTCCCAGTCCAGGTGCTCCAGCGTGCCGGCCCGCAGGGGTACCGCGTGCGGGGAGCGCGTGCCACCTGGCCGCTCTCCCTCCCTCCTCGTTCTCTTCCTCCTTCGGAAGCTCCGCCGAGGCCTCCTCCCAGGTGCCTCAACACGCGCGAAGGCCTTCCCCACGAAGGCGCGCGAGGGGCATGGAGGGGTGGCACATCTTCCTCCTCCCTTTCGCCCCTGAGCTCATTGGAGCGCTCGGTGCAAAAACTCCTCCTCCTCCTCCTCCTCCTCCTCCTCCTCCTCCTCCTCCTCCTCTCCTCCTCCGCCGTCGCGCCGCCGCGCCGCCGCCGCATCCTCCTCCTCCTCCTCCTCCTCCTCCTCCTCCTCCTCCTCCTCCTCCTCCTCCTCCTCCTCCTCCTCCTCCGCCGCCTCCCTCCTCCTCCTCCTCCTCCTCCTCCTCCTCCTCCTCCTCCTCCTCCTCCTCCTCCTCCTCCTCCTACTCCTACTCCTACTCTTCCTCCTCCTCCTCCTCCTACTCTTCCTTCTCCTCCTCCTCCTCCTCCTCCTCCTCCTCTCCTCCTCCTCCTCCTCCTCCTCCTCCCTCCTCCTCCTCCTCCTCCTTTTCCTCTTCCTCCTCCTCCTCCTCCTCCTCCTCCTCCTCTTCCTCCTCCTCCTCCTCCTCCTCCTCCTCCTCCTCCTCCTCCTCCACCTCCTCCTCCTCCTCCTCCTCCTCCTCCGCATCCTCCTCCTTCTTCTCCGCCTCCCCCTCCTCCTCCTCCTCCTCATCCTCCTCCTCCTCCTCCTCCTCCTCCTCCTCCTCCTCCTCTTCCTCCTCCTCCTCCTCATCCTCCTCATCCTCCCATCCCTGATTTCGTTTTGATTTTAAGGAGTTATGCTGTCCCTCGACTCGTGCTGAAGCGTCCACGAACTCTGCCAGATCATCTGGATGTCTCTGGGTGTGCCTCGACTCATTGCCATTCACCTTGTTTTACATGGACTTACCTAGGATCAGCAGGCGTGGCACCAACAAGTCGGTTGGAGAAGAGTCGCCAAGCCCTTGAGGATGACCGTTAAGGAATGAGATGGTGATTTCGCTGACGCTCGGGTGAGCCGACGTGGCCACAGGCGCGCGGCGGTCCGATTGGAGCCGTCCACAGCGGGAGGGCGCCAACCTTACACCGAGCACCCAGGTCCAGAATGGGCCTGGCCAATTTTCTGTGTTAGTGGCATTCTCTACGGCTACCTCCACTTCCTCAGCCCCCTTGTCTACTACTCCTTCTTTCTCCCCTTCGTGATTGCGAATGCCCTCCAGGACCTTGCGGCCCTCGACAACTATCAGGCGGCCTCCTCGAGCCTCCCGCCGGCACGGCCGGGAAACCCGCGCGCAAATTGTGTTGCAAGTTTTTTTTGGAGGGATGGGAGCGGACAACAAGCTTCCACAACTGGCGCCAAAACGCGGATGCCGCCACGCGCCAAAACATAAGTTTAGGTCGGGCATGTCCCGCGACAGGCGGATTTTGGACGAAAAATTCAAAACAACTCCCAAAATAATCAAACATGAATCAAAAATGCTCAAACATCATCCCCCGACTATTTTTGCTATCCTTGAATATTCCTCCTGTAGAGGGACGTGCCCGAAGTAAGCATAGGTTCAAAGGCATCGGGATGAGGCCGGCGCGGTACTGCACGAGCGAGGAGGACGATTGCAGTTGAAGGCAGTTGCCTTCCCCACCAAGCGCAATTTCTGTGCAAACGTGTGCAACTGGCGGCTCTGATGTCGCATTCTCGGGGAGACCTTGTCTGTCCCGTCGCGGCCCTATCCGCCTCGAATTCGTGTCGACTCCATGTCGGCCTCGTCTGATATGTGTCGAATCTGTGGCGAATGCGCAGCCACGACAAATCCGCGTCGAGTCCGCATCGAGCTCGCGTCGGGCACAAGAAAAGACGCTCATTTGGGGGACAGGCGAGGCCCCCCGAAGATGCAACGTAACGGCTCCCGATACGGGGCAAACTGTGGAGCGCTGCACCCGGGAAGCCACGGACAGTTCCGGCCAACTGGAGCGAGAACGTGATTCGTGAGTCTTGGGGGCTCGGCGCCGCAGTAAATTGTGAGGAGATACCACGCGAGAGCGCGACTCATTGATAAATTGTGAGAACGTCCCGCGCGAAAGCGCGAATTTGAAATACAATGTGAGGAAGTATCAGGCGGGAGCCGCTGTTGTCGCAGTTTGGTGACCACAGGCCTTTCCTGATAAAAAAAATTATGCGAGCCCCAGAGGAGCAATTGAGAAATACAGATGGTCACCGGGGGGGATCAACCATATATATATATATATATATATTGCTTAGAAACGGAATGTCAACAACAACAAAAAAACAACAACAACAACAACAACAACAACAACAGCAGCAGCAGCAACAACAACAACAACAACAACAACAACAACAACAACAACAACAACAACAACAACAACAACAACAACAATAACAACAACAACAACAACAACAACAACAACAACAACAACAACAACAACAACAACAACAACAGCAACAAATACAACAACGAAACAACGAGACAACGAAACAACCGAGAGATTCGCCGTGAGGCGCCGCAACTCCACCAGAAAGCCCCCGCGGAGCCCAGAGCGTGGGCGGAGTGACTGCGTCCATCCCTGCAGGCATGGAGTTCTTCCATACTTCTCCGCCGCCTGGCGCACCAGTGTGGGGCAAGTTCGTGTCGTGACGACCCCGGCGATGGTTTCTGACACCGCGGGGGGTCGTTAGACCTTGAAGGATCGGCCGCTTCCGCAACGCCCGATCCTTCAGCGTCGACCGATTCTGGGTCGCCCGTGGCGTTCAACGATGAACGCCGGCGGCGGGGTCGCCGCCGGTCGACACGACGCCAACCTGCCGCGCCCTGGCCCCAGGAGGCAGTGGACCAGGAGATCTTTGGGCCCCCGCGGGGCCCGAAAGTGTCAATACCCACGGCCTCTGGGGGCCATGAGACATCGGGTCTCCAGGCTGCGGATATGGTGTTCGTGAGATTTGTGTGTCTCTCTCTCTCTCTCTCTCTCTCTCTCTTTTTCCCAATCATCCGGTGGTGTTGGGTCCTCGTTTTGAAGAGCCCGCGTTCCTCCTCTCCTCTCCTCTCCTCTCTTTTCCTCTCCTCTCCTCTCCTCTCCTCCTCCCTCTCCTCCCTCCCCCCCTCCTCGCCTCTGCTTTTCGCATGCCTCTGTTTCGCCGCACCCCTCACACGTTTCGTGGCCCCATAGGAAGCTCCACCGAAGGCCCCAGTGGCAAGGTTCGCATGGCGGCCCCACCCAATTTCGGCACACCCCTCACACGTTTCGTGGCCCCGTAAGTGAACTCCACCGAAGGCCCCAGTGGCAAGGTTCGCATGGCGGCCCCGCCCCCTTTCGGCCCATAGGGAGCTCCACCGAAGGCCCCAATTGCAAGGTTCGAGTGGCGGGCCGGCACCCTTTCGGCACACCCCTCACACGCTTCGTGGCCCCATAGGGAACTCCACTGCAGGCCCCACTGGCAAGATTCGCATGGCGGCCCCGCCCCATTGTGGCAAACCCCTCACACGCTTCGTGGCCCAGTAAGGGAGCTCCACCGAAGGCCCCAGTGGCAGGGTTCGCATGGCGGCCCCGCCCCCTTTTCGGCACACCCCTCACGAGTTCCGTGGCCGCATAGGGAGCTCCACAAAGGCCCAAGTGGCAGAGTTCGAGTGGCGGCCCCGTACCCTTTTGGCACACCCCTCACACATTTCGTGGCCCAATAGCGGGCTCCTCCGAAGGCCCAGTGGCAAGGCTCGCATGGCGGCCCCGCCTCCATTGCGGCACACGCCTCACACGGTTCGTAGCCTCATGGGGGACTCCTCCGAAGGGCCTAGTGGCAGGGTTCGCATGGCGGCCCCGCCTCATTTCGACCCCCCCCGCATGTTTCGTGGCCCCATAAGGAGCTCCACTGCAGGCCTCGGCGGCAGGGTTCGCATGGCGGCGGCGGCGCCTCCATTTCGGCACACCCCTCACACGCCTCGCGGCCCCATACAGAGCCCCACTGGAGGCCCCAGTGGCAAAGTTCGTCTGCCTTCCCCTGCCTATTTTGACACGCCCCTCACATGGTTCGCGGCCCATAGGGAGCTCCGCCGAAGGCCCCAGTGGCAGCGCCCGCATGCGTCCCCCAGCCCACTTCGGCACACCCCGCACACGTTTCGGGGCCCCCATCCGCGTTGCCCCGCGCTCCATCCTTCTCGCGGCGCGCTGCCTATGATGAGAAGGCAGTGTCCAAAGTTGCTCGCAGCTGCATATGGTTGGGCCCTTCGCCTGGTTAATGATATATACATCTCTCTCTCTCTCTCTCTGTCGCACCACCCTCGGCGCGCCAGCGTGCGAGTCGAGGCTCGGCCGCCGACGCGCAGCCTCGGTCCGCGGGGGCGCGGCAGCCTCACGCCGCCTGCCCGCGCCTCAGCACGCGCGCCCCCCCAGCTGGCGTCGCCACAAGGGCCAGGCGCACGGCCCACGGTGCCCGGCGGCGGCAGGCAGGCTGGCCCGCCCACGCGCAGCCAGGGCGGCACGCCAGGCCCAGGCGCACCGCAGCGGCCCGCGGCCGCATGGTGGGAGCCGCCGAAAGCGTCAGCCAAGCGGCTTCCCCGTGCATGGGGTCACACATGCCCAGCAGGCGGCCCAGGTACAGGCGCTTCTTTGCTGGGCACGGCGAACTCGCTCTGCGGCGCCTTGCCAACCTGACGCCGCCGGGGGCTCCGCGAGCACCGCCCAGCCGCAGGGGAGGGCCCCGCCCCGTCTGAGGCGCCGCTGGGGTCCGGCGGCGACGCGGCCGCGACGGCCGCCGCCTGCACACAGGCCGCTGCCACTGGGATGCCCAACGCCGCCTGCGCCGCCGCCGCGACTGGGGGGGCCGGCTGGCCCCCGCCCTGGGCGGCCCCCCCCTCGGCCTCGGGCGCGCCCAGCCCTGCCTCTGCCCCCTGCGGGGGGTCATTGCTGTCAGCCTCCGCCACAGGGCCGCCTGCCGACTCACCTCTGTAGCAGCTGCCGCGCCCGCCTGGACTGCCCCTGGGAGCGGGCCACAGGCAGCCCTCAACGGGAAACCGTCGGACCTGAGAGCCACCACTGCCCAGCCGCACCTGCGGGCTTCGGGGGCCTTGGAGGCGTGGCCCGAGCCATCCGCGTAGACAACTGAAGGCAAGGAGACTCCTTCTGCTCCCCAGCCGATGACATAATGAGTCGACGGCGCTGCAGGCGGCAGCGCGGGCAGCAGCGGGAGGCCATGCGAGAGGGGCAGGCAGCTGTCGCCTCCAGCGTTGCTCCGCCTCTTGCATCTGTTGGTGGACTGCCACCAGCGGCTTGCGGAACGGCTCCCCCAGCTCCAGCTCGTCGCCCCTGGGCCCCATGACAACAGGACAGCGGCACCAGCGATGCATGAGGGTGCCGCGCGCATCGCCGCACGCGCGGCACGCCTCGGTGTCCGTGAACCCACGGCTGCGCCCCCAGACGTTGGTGTAGTGGGCTCCCGACCAAAGCGCCTGGAGCGCACCCTTCTCTGCAGCCGCGCCTGCCCGCTGCGCGATCGCCCGCGCCGCGCGTGGCCACAGCGTCTCCCCTTGGTACTCAGGGAGGTGGGCCGCCGCTCGGCGGCACTGCCATCTGTGGATGCCCTCCACCAAGGCGTTCTTGATGTCCCTCGGCGCTGCGTGCAGCATGGAGTGCTGCTCCCCGATGTCCGACTTGAGCGCCCAAACTGACTGCATACTCCAGCCGATGCGCTCGAGGGAGAGCCACGTCGCAGCCAGGGGCCCATGGACACTCGCCCAAGTGAGGCGGCCTTGAAGGCAGACTGTGGCGCTTGCAGGCTGTTATGGTCTCCGCAAGGATCGGCATGCTCCTGCGGTGCTGGCAAGGTTCAGGTTTCCCCTGCCGCCCGGTGGTTGCAAGCACGCCGTGGAGCTTACAGGCACGTTGTGACGCTCTCAGGCAATCCTGTTGCTCCCAGGCACGCTGCGATGATCGCAGGTATAGTGAGGCGTCCGAAGGCCCTCGTGGTGCCCACAAGCATATTGCTGGTGCTCGCGGATATAACGTTGTGCAGACTGCTGTGGCCCTGCAAAAGCATATTGCGGTGCTGGCAGGCTGTGTTTTGGCGAAGCGCAAAAGGGGGTAGGGGGGAGGGAAGGTTTCTTAGAAGGAGGCTACATCTTAGAAGGCGCGGGCCTTACATCCATAGACAAGGCCCACGCCTTTTTAAGGAGCAGGGGTGCGAATAAGCCTTCCCCCCTCCCCCTATACCCCCCTTTTGCGCGTGGCCGTGTATTCGCAGGGTCCGAAAAATGCTGTGCATGCCGCGGTGGTCGCCAATGAGTTGGGGTGCTGATGAGGACCAGCTGCCCTCGCCATGTCGTGGTCGCAATCACAATCATTGTGCGGTGCTGATACTCGTTTTGCGGTCTGCACATGTGTTTGTTTGCGGCGGCAGCGAGGCAGGGGAAGTCTGCGCTGGCGGAAAGGCCTAAACGGGGGTACCGCTGGGGCAAAGTGTGCCACCATGCACGAGGGGGAGCAGGAGGAGGACGCTCTGCGGTCTGCACACGCTACATGCTACTGTGTAACTGGCAGCCGTGCTGTAGTGTTCGCGAGGGTCACCCGGTCGAAGGCTACGACTGCACTCACACGTCCCACGTGGTGCTTGCAAGCTGTCGTGGTAATGCCAAATGACGCAAGTTATACTGGTACTGGCACGCGGTCTGGCCTCCGTCGCCGTCTGGAGGTTGTAAGCGGTCCGTTGTGTTCCCTAGCACGTTGCGGTGCTCGCGAGGATGTTATGGCGGTCGCAAATTAGGCGGTACTCACAGGCATCTTGTGATACTCGAAGGCTGTTGTGGCACGGGCAGGGTCCAGCATTATGTTATGCATACAGGTGGTGCTCGAACGCAGTTGTGGTATAGTGGGGGCCCAGTCTCTCGAGCAACCCGCGGAAGATCGACACGCTGAGTCTGTTAGAAGCGTCCGACATACACGGGTAGCGCGGAGATTGTCCACGCGTTCGCTGACGATACGGCGGCGGTAGTGAATGACTACACCATGTATTCTAACTATATCGGCAAGGCGTTCTGCGAGTCCGCTCTCATCCAGGGCCTGGAACTCAACAGTTAAAATACTGTCGCCATTCCTCTGGAGGTTTTCCTACGCGGGCAAATGGCGCGAACTCATTGCGGAGGCGTGCCCCCCATGGCGATTGGTCAGCGTTGCACCGTCTTGGGGATATTCAGCGTTTGTAGTGGGCCCACCTGCGGAAGGGGAATCATGGGACGAGCCATTCCAGAATGCTTGCGCACAAGCGTCGCTGTGGATGTCTCGTTGTTTAGGCCACTTCTGTAACAGCCGTGCGTTCTACATGTACGCACTCCGTGTGCCCTCCTTCGTGGTGCAGCTGAAACCGGACAGCAACGGCATTGCCGACGACCTCTGGCAGGTCTTGTGTAGTCTTGCTCAGGGGCGGAGCACCTGGGTCACTCCAGATGCCTTGCTGCACCTCGCAGGCGACTGCTTCTTCTTGTCGCAGTTCGGGGGCCCCATCTGGGCTAGTGCAGCCCAAGGGCTCGTGCGGCGACGTCGGCCGCATGGGTGCTCAGTAAGCAGTTCGACGTCTGGCCAAACCACGACTCGGACCTGGATGATGGCACGGGCGGGAACAGCGCATGCACGCGCAAGCACTCGGGGGGTGTATGTATGTGTGGGGCAGGCGGGGGGTGAGCGATAGCTCATCGAATTAAGGAGAAAAGTCTTTCCCTCTTCAATCGGCCAAAGCTGTTGACAGAGCTGAAACTCCCATGGGCACCTATATTTATATTTACAGAGGCCTCTGCACGGAGCTCGAAAGGTCTACTCTCTTTTGCACGGACCGACCCCCCACGCCAGAGCACAGACCGCACCCCGAGGCCAGAGCTGGATTCGCAGACCACCATCCGCAGACTGGGGTCGGCCACCATCACGGGAGACTGGGGCCAGAACGCTCCACGGCCTCGGGGGCCAGGGGAGGCTCGACGGCCTTGGGGGGGCCCAGCAAAGAGAACCCCCTGGGAGCCCAGCAGGACCGTGCCCAAGTAGCTCGAGCTCTCGCGAGACTCATGATGCATTCACCACTTAGGGCGGTATGTGGGTGGGCCAGAACAGCTGCCATGCAAACGAATGCGGCCGATGTGACACGCTAACCCCCCGACGCCCACACATCTACCGTAAACGTATACATGTGTGGGGCAGGCGGGGGGTGAGCGATAGCTCATCGAATTAAGGAGAAAAGTCTTTCCCTCTTCAATCGGCCAAAGCTGTTGACAGAGCTGAAACTCCCATGGGCACCTATATTTATATTTACAGAGGCCTCTGCACGGAGCTCGAAAGGTCTACTCTCTTTTGCACGGACCGACCCCCCACGCCAGAGCACAGACCGCACCCCGAGGCCAGAGCTGGATTCGCAGACCACCATCCGCAGACTGGGGTCGGCCACCATCACGGGAGACTGGGGCCAGAACGCTCCACGGCCTCGGGGGCCAGGGGAGGCTCGACGGCCTTGGGGGGGCCCAGCAAAGAGAACCCCCTGAGAGCCCAGCAGGACCGCGCCCAAGAAGCTCGCCAACTCTCGAAAAAGACACCAAGCTCTCCATTCAGTGCTTTTCCTCTGGCCGTAGGCCGAAGATATGTCAAGCCTGGCGACGGCAGCACGGGCAGCAGCTCGCACCAGACACCAAAAATTATTGCAGCAGGTCACGGGCTGCAAAACGCTCGGACTCGAGCGAAAAGTGCATTAGAGAACTGCTGGAGCGTCGAACGGGCACGATCCTGGAGCTTCATTTCTGCGATGATGGCAGCCCCGTCTTGGATGCATATCTTGACCGTTCTTGCCGAGCCCCAGCGCCCACGCAACATGACCTTAGACAAGTCGCCCGACAGCAGGAACTCATGCGTGGCGCCTCCGCGCCTCAGGCTGTAAGGAGACAGGGCGAGGTGCCTGCAACCGATCTGCTGGAGCCCAGTACGGAACAAATCGTGAAAGGCGCGCGTCGTGCCAGGCCAGAGCCGGCTGTCACGCTGGAGCTGCATATGGACGACTGCCCCAACCAGCGGGTCGTCAAGCGTGACTTGTTCCCGCGCGCCCTTCTGGCAAGAGGTCTTGGTCCAGGGCAACGACACCACGCCTCGGCCACAGGGCTTCAGAAAGATGACGCCGCCGCTCAGCCCCAACGCCTCGCCAGTGCGGAGACACAGATGGAAGGCCACGAGCAGCACGGCTGCGAAGGCTACCTCTCCGCGGCTGAGCGCCCAACCGGCGAGCGCCGCGCAGACCTGGGCAGGCATCGGCGGCGCGCGCTGAGGGATCTCCAGTCTGCCCCAGACTGTCAGCAGCTGCCAAGCGCCAGGATAGCGGCGTCGTGTCCTCAGCAGGTGCTGCACGCCGCTGAGGGTGTCATTGGCTTCTCCTTTTGCGGCGCCCTCGGCCCACAAGTGCTCAAGATAATCTTGCAAGCAGATATCAATATCGTCCCAGGTGAAAGGCAGCGGCAGGTTATTGGCAGCAAGGTAGTCAACAAAACGCTGAGCGGCGCCACGGTAGCGGGCCAGTGTCGAGGCCTTTATCCTGGCGTCTCTCAGCTTCCCCAGTCCAGCTCTGGCGGCGCGGCGGTCAGCAGGGCTACTCCGCTTCTTACCCATCGCGGAGACGCGAGGGGGCGTCCGCGGGGTTGCGAGCCGACGACGTGAAGCCGAAGACCGCCCGCGCGCCCATCGCAAGCTCCCACGCCGAGAAGGTCCGCACCACCTTGTTGAGCTGAGGACTGCTGGAACGGTGCTTGGACAGCGCACCGATGTTGACCATGCTGTCGAGCAGGTGCAGGAAGACGCACTGATGGCGGCGCACCGACCGCGCCCGCCATCGAATCATCATCAGCGCGCCCTGGCACTCAAGAACGTTGATGTGCTCTGCTGCCTGCCACACTAGCGCCCTTGCCTTGCGCCACCGCCAAATGCCTGAGTCGATCTCCTGCCGCGGAAAGATCTTGCCGAGCGCCTCCGAGGCGCCATCGGTCCTGATGTCTGCTCAGTTGTTGTGGCACGCCATGACGAGCCCCATGACGATGCGTCTGGACGCGTCCAGCTCGCGCCACTCCACCACGTCACGCTTCGCCAACTCCGCCAAGAGGATGTCGGCATGGCACGCCTGGTCGGGCCCACAGTGACAGACCAGTAGGGCCCCGCGCAGCGTCTCCAAGCTCTGCAGGAGGGTGGGCTGCGTGCGGATCCAACCAGCGAGCAGGGCAACAGCGTCCTCGCGTGGCCGCTCGGGGCTGATCGTGAAAGGGTTGCCCCACCGCGAGGCAGCCAGCCCCCAGCGGCGAGACCCACGACCCACGTAGATGGGCCCGCCAGGCTGGTCCAGCTTGGCGTGCAAGCCCTCGTCGATCTCGAAGCGACCGCACCGCAGCGACGTCACGTCGCCGGCCCACAGCTTCCTGCCACCAGCCCAGGCTCGCGAACTCTCGTGCAGCTCACCCAGCGAGGGCACCGAGACCAGCAGCCCAGCTCCGACGGCCCAGTGGCTGATGATCCAGGCCACGACCTCGCACTGGAAGGAGTTGCCCACGAGCGACCGCCGAAGAGCCTCGTACTTGGCGGGCTCGGCCTTCGCCTGGCTGCTCGTCATGCACGGCACGGCGTGGCCCTCCGGGAAGCCCATCAGCTTCTCTCGTATGGTCGCGTCAGGCGGCCCCACGCGGCCATCCGCCTGGTGGATGCACCACTTGTCACGGAACTGGTAGGGCGGCGAAGCGAAGCCCGCCGCCTCCCAGCGCGCCAGCTCAGCAGCGCTGCACTCCCCAATGCCCGCAGGCCTGGGGCGCGGCTGCGAGCGCGGCGCCCAGCGCACGAAGGTCGGGAGCGGCTCCCCTGCGGCGGGACCCGGACACACAGCCCCGGGCGGGAGCCACTCCTCGAGCGGCGGCCGCTCCGCCTTCAGCGCCACCTTGCAGGCGCGCCGAACGTCCTGGGTCTTCGCCCGCACCACGACGGGCTCAGCCTCGAAGGACGGCAGGAGGTCCCACGAAGCCCAGTAGAGCCGCGGACGTCTGACCCAGCCGACATCCCCCGCTTCAATCTCCAGCGGGATGCGGCCGAAGAGCTGGTTCAGGCGCAGCACGTCGCACTCGGACATCGACGCGACGTTCTCCCCGAGGAAGTCGATCGACGCCTCCGGCATGGCCGTCCGCAGCCCGTCCACGATCCGCACCATGTGGTCAACCAGGCCCGCGCGCGGGTCGTCGAGACCCTGCCGAGCGACGTTGAGACCCGCGAAGACCTGGCACGGGAAGCCGCCCACCACCAGCACACGCGACACCCGCACTGGGTTAGCTGCGTGCTGGGGTAGCTGCGCCGGGCCACCCGCACCGCCGCGGGGTCAACCTCGAATGACAGGTGCACGGCAGGGACCAGTCCGAGGATCTCGAAAGCCCGGCGCCCACCGCCGATGCCGTCGAAGACAGTCACGAGGGCGGTCTCCTCCTCGCAAGCGGCGTATGCGGGCCGCTGCCGCCTCTCGGCCAGCGCGCGCCCGCGGTCGGAGAGGGCGTAGCCGTAGACCACGGCGCCAGCGGCCTCCGAGGCATCCGACGCGGTCACCAGGGGGTCGACCTCGAGGCGCAGGTCAGCGACGCAAAGCCCTGACAGCGCAAGACACATCAAGAGGTCCTCGACCACGCTCACGCTGAAGCGGCCGCCAGTGCGCGGGTTCCCGAGCCACTTCCAGGTGTAGGCAAAGCTGGCCGCCAGCGGCCGCCGAAAGCAGTGAACTCGAACCCAGCGGCCCAGCAGGATGCGCACCAGCCGCATGCTGGCCCGCTTCTTGCTCAGCGTCCACAGCGTGAGGCTGGCCATCTCGGTAAGGTAACCCGCAGGGGGGCGCCGCGCGCCCTCGACCCCGTCGATGAGCCCCCCCAAGGTTGTCGCTCGAGGCACTCGATGGATGTCCTTGGACGGCGACCCCGGGGAGCCCGCAGCCGCATAGCAGGCACGAGCCTCGGAGATGAGCTCGGGCACCGTCCCTCGCAACGTCGCGGCCTCGGACTTGCTCACGACCTCCGCGACCTCCAGGTTGTCAATGTAGACCATCCACGCCGGAGGGCGCGGCTTCTCCACGCTGAACGGCAGCCGTCGGCGCCGAGTGATCTCCTGGCTGGGCGGCAGGCCGCGAGGGACAAAGGCGCTCCGCCGCAGCATGTTCCAGTGGAGGTGGGTCGTCACGCCCACGGCACTGATCCAGCCCATGCCGATCACCCGCAGGCAGATGTGCGCAGCCCCACCGCCCTTCAGGCCAAGCAACTCCGAGGGGACGGGCGGCCCTATCACCATGTAAGGCCACCACACAGGCGGCGCGCGGAAGACGTAGAAGAAGGCCTTCCTGTCCGCGCCGCTCCACAGGAGATCCTCCGACTCGGTCAGCACCAGGCCGTTCAGCTGGCTCATGGTCGGCATCTCAGGGGTGTCTCCCACGATGCACTCCTGGCACGCGTTCGAGGGGATAAGGTTGGTGATCAGCCTCAGGACCGGCCTGCGCTCGCCGTCGCTGCAGACCACGGGCTCGTCGCGGGGCTTGGGCACCCCGAACGCCCCGTTCAGGAGCGGGGCTCCGTCGCGACAGGCAATCTCGCTGCTCGGGATCGCCGACACCATCCCGCGCTCGCGGAGCGCCCGCACGATCCGATGCCACTCCTCGAGCGAGGCCCACACGCGCGCAGATGTCGGCGCGGGCCGCCGCAGGGCAGCGGGCAGCAGCACCAACGTCGGGTCCAGGAGGGCCTCACGCACGAACCCCGTCGCGAGGTCGGCCGCCTCGATGGAGGCCGCGACGCCTGGCGGCGGCAGCCCGTCCAGCACCTGCTCCAGCGTCAGCCGATGCGGGGCCGAGATCTCGCCCCCGCCGTAGCCGATCTTGCGGTCCTTCAGCCGCACGTTCCAGTCAAGATCTGGCGGTAGAGCAGACTCGGCCCGCGTAGCCAAGAGGAGGCGGCGGCCGAGAGCGACCAGGGCTGCCTGCTGCGCGGCGTTGGCTCGACCTCGGCAGGGCCTGGCCAGCTTCAGGGAGCGGAACCCAGACTCCCAGTTTAGCGCCAGGACAGTGACCACCAGCCTGCAGTGTAGTCCTTCCCACTCCTTGTCGCTCAAAGGGTCCTCGCCCTGACGGACGACCTGGGACCTGTTGATCGAAGGGTATGGTAACGGCAACAGATCTCGCTGAAGCCGACCCCCCATGTCGGCCGGAAGCTCGCGTGGCTTTACCTCGAGGGAATATCTAGTGAAGCGACCGAAGGAGCCTGGGAACTGCCGGACTATGTTCAGCAACACGGGGCCCACGTCAAAAGGTTCTCGCAGAAGATCACTCGCCGCTCCAGCCCACTCGCGCCACTCTGCCAGCGGATCACCGTCACAGTCGGCATCCGCACCGCAGGCCGGCGGGCACGACGAGGACGCTGGGCGGCGAGAGGCGGCAGCACCACCACGGTCAGGAGCCAATCTCGGAGGCGGCGAGCGCGACGGTGAAGTCCAGGGCGGTCTGCGCGAGCGGGCAACCTCGGCAAACTCGGTCGCACTCGCACGCGCATCATCAGCGCTGGCACCATCAGCTCGCTGCCTCACCTCAGCGTCGCAGGAAGGCCGCCTTGGCCCCGGCCCCGGTGCTTCCTGCCGCCACGGCGGCGGCCGCTCGGGGGGGCCGGGCCTCGCGGCGGACCTTGCTGCAGGCCCGCTGCCGCCGCAGCCGCGGGCTGGTCCTGCCTGAAGACGCGGCGCTCCGGGCTCGTCGCCAGCGAGACACGCCTCGGCCCGTCCGCCGCCCTCGGGCGCGGGCTGTCGCCTCGAGGCGTCCTCAGCGCCCCCGGAGACGGCGACCTGTCCGCGCTGCCTGAGCGCGCTGCGCCTGGCGGACCCGCGGGCGGGGCTGCGGCTGCGGGCCCTGCCCAAGGCCGCGCTGGGCCCCCCGCCCGCAGGGGGAAGAAGCGGCCTCGGCCGCGCCCGCGGCTCTTCCCGCGACCACGGCCCTGCTGGCGGCTCGGCGAGGGCGAGTGGGCTCCGCCGCTCCCGCGCCTCGCCTCCTCGGGTCAGCCTTGTCGCTCGCCCTGACCCTTGCCGCCGAGGCCGCCGCGGCTCTTCGCGCCCATCAGCTTCCTGCGCAGCAGTGCCGCCCGCCGCGCCAGATCCTGCTCGCCCATCGAGGCCAGCGAGGGCCGCGCGTCCGGCACGATCTCCAGCTCGCTCGCCACCTGCCAGCTCGCGTCGGACAGCGACAGCTCCAGAGCCTTGAAGCGCTGCATCAACACGTCGATCAACTCCGCCAGGCACCCACTCTCCAGCAGGTCCAGCGCGGTCGCCAGCGTCTGCAGCTCCCGCTGAATGTTGATCCGCATCTGCCCTGGAGGGTGATGGCCGAACACCACGGCCTGCAGGTAGCCCACGACCTTCGCTCGAACCTCTCAGCCGTCCGCCCCCTCCCGCAGGCCCATGACGCGCCCGATGTTCTTCATCGCCTCGTCGCACAGGGCACCTGGGCGTTTCTCCGCCAGCAACCGTACGCTGCCGCCGCGGGAGGGGGCCTCGCGAAAACGCGACTCCGTCGTCGTCGCTGCGCGAGGCCGAGGAGCTCCGGGGGCGGCGGCGGCCGCGACCGCCACCAGCGCGGCCAGACGTCGCCGCAGCAGCCTGCGCGCGCGCCGCGGCAGCTGCCGCCAGGCGGTCGGGGGCCGCGCTCCCGGCTGGGGCGCCCCCCGCCAAGGCGCCGCCGCCGCCGCGCCCACCGAAGGCGCTCGGCCGCACCCACGGCTCCACGAACCCGCGGTTCGAGCGCAGCCGCAGCCACTCGACATGCAGGACTCCTCGGCCTGGCACAGCGGGGTCCCCGCACAGCGCCTGTCCCTGCCCGCACAAGTGCAGGAGGCCCGCAGGTCCGCTCCCGCGCGGTGGGAAAAGGCCGTCCAGCCGCATCGCCTCGGCCGCCAGCGACGCCCCCCTGAACTGGGCGCTCAGGTACTGCCCTGAGGGGCCCGTGGTGCCGATCTCCTCTACCTCGAAGAGGGCCGTCCCGCTGATGCCTCCAGCTGCGTCGAAGGTCGGGAGCTCGAGATTCACCCCTCGGCGCCAGTCGGCGCCAATCAGAGTCACGGCCTGACGCCACGGACCGTCCACGAGTGGTCCCAGCTGCGCGCCACCCGCTGGGGCGATGGGACCGCCAGCCACCGCGATCGGCACACCAGGGATCGCCGGGGCCCCAGGCACCGCACCAGGAGGAGGGCCTCCAGGAGGGCCGCCGCCGCCGCCCGCGAGCGCGCCCACCAGCGCGGCGCCCACGCCGCCGGGGGGAGCACCTCCGCCGTCAGGCACGGCGCCGCCCGCCGGGGGCGCCCCAGCAGCCCCGCCGCCTCCGAAGCCCGGCAGGCCGGGCAGCGCCGCCAGGCCAGGCGCCACGGGCGCGCCGGCACCGCCGCCCGCGGGCGCGGCCGCTGCGGCGCCGCCGACCGCCTCGGCCGCCGCCAGGCCCGGGGCAACAGGCGGGAAGGCGGCGGCACCTCCGCCTCTCCCCGCGGTTCCTCGCCCGAGGCCGCCGGCGCCGCGCCCTCGGCCGCGGGCGCGTCCTCGGCCCAAGGCCTTCGCCTTAGCCTTAGCCTTGGCTTTGCCCTTGGCGACGGCCTTCGCCTTCGGCGCCATCGAGCCCCAGGCCGGCGAGCGCGGAGAGCAGCGCGCCCAGGAGCCGAGCGGAGTCGAGCAGCGCCGCCATCTCCTCCACGCTGAGGCGGGCGCGCCACGCCGCCTGCCGAATCAAACCGATGATGTAGCACAGCTCGCAGACCTCCAGGAGGGACCCGCCCTCGGCCAGGGCCAGCGACTCCCCTCGCCCGAGGGGTCCCGCGCACCACCCGCAGTATCGCACGGGCGAAGGGCGCGGCACGGTGGTCCCGGGGGCGTCCATGCCCTCCCTGGAGGGCGCGGAACCAGCCAGAACAGCTGCCATGCAAGCGAATGCGGCCGATGTGACACGCTACCCCCCTGACGCCCACACATCTACCGTAAACGTATACATAAATGGCCCTGCGGTCGCGTGCGTGCGCATGTGAAAGCTAGTGTGAATACGTGCACGTGAGTTGGGTGGAGCGGGGAGTTTGGGCGGACATGTGGATGGACAGGTCGGTGGGCTTCTCTTCCTCGTCCCCCTCATCTTCCTTCCAACCGTCACCCCTTTCTCCTCCAATCCACTCCGCCTCACATTGTTCCAATTCCCCGTCCTCGTCTTCCCACCTCATCCTCGTTACCCCTATGCACTCCTCTCTGTCCCGCTTGCACAGCGCCTCCGTCCTTGGCTGTGCTGACGATTCGGCGCGCGCCATCGCAGCCCAGCGACTGTCATCAACCGAACTACCCTGCGGGCACATGCAGGCGGCCAGCTCGCGGGCAGGGTAACACCGACCAGCGCAAACCTGAGCAGGCAGAAGCGGAGGCCCGACGTATAGCGCTGGCATGAACCCCTCGAAAGCGCGAGCACCTTGGAAGTTCCACATGTCCAGCGTGGGTGGACGTTTCCGAAGCACCGGCTCGAAGCACGCGTCCAAATAGTGGCGCCCACATGTTGCAAGCGCAAGCTCCAGCCGCGACAGGCAGTCGGAACGAGCCGCGAGAGGGATCGGGCAGGATAGGGGGGCCGGATGCTGCGCGCGAGGGCTGCCTGGCGGGGAACGGTCGGAGAGAACGCGCACGACGGCGAGCCTGACCCTACACGAGCCGCGGAGCCTCCGTGGCGCATGCTGACAGAAAACCCGGCTGAGCCGTCGATCCCCTCCTCCTCCTCCTCCTCCTCCTCCTCGTCCTCCTCCTCCTCCTCCTCCTCCTCCTCGTCGTCCTCCTCCTCCTCCTCCTCCTCCTCCTCCTCCTCCTCCTCGTCCTCCTCCTCCTCCTCCTCCTCCTCCGCCCCTCTCCTCCTCCGCCCTCCTCGATCGAGACAGTGACCGACCAAGTCGTGCAGATACCGCAGTGGTTCGGGGCCTCCAGAGGAGCGCAGGTGCGAGAGGAGATGGAATGGCAGGCGGCCTCGTCGGCTGAGGGAGGCAGCGCCAGGTGGGAAACGGGCGGCGGAGGGCGGTCGAAGCGGGGCCAGGGCTAGGAAGAACGTGCAACGCGCTCCAGTCTCGCTCGAATCCAGTGGCCCACGCGCCCTCCACGCTTGCACGAACGAGTGCGCACCTTGCCATGTGCACACCAGGCCACGCTCTTGGAAGGAGCTGCCCGATGTAGGAACCGTGCCGCTGCCAAGGCGCCTGCCTGCGCTGGCTGCCCGCGGGACGAGCCGTGGACTTATCGGCTGCGTCGGAGCCTCTGCCCCCCACGCTGCTGCCTACGGCAAGTCCTTGTCGTGCCAAGGTCGGCATTCGATCCTGAAACCGCGGGGATCGTTCAACATCGACCGATTCTGGGCCGTCGCGTCCCTAATTATCCGCGTCAAATCCGTGTCGAATCCAGGTCGAACTCGTCGAATCCGTGCCGGATTCACATCGAATCCGCGTCGAGTCCACGCCAAATCCGCGTCGAGTCCGTATGCTCAAGAGAAGACACAACAAAATGTGGGACAGACAAGGTCCCCCGAAGATGCGATGAAACACTGCGAATCAACGCGATGATCGATGCGGGTGGACGTGGACAGACCAGGGGGAGGGCAAAAAGCAGCTTATCATGCACGACTAACGCTGACCTGTTCACCCCTCCCTGCAATCTCCAGAGTCTTGGGCTCGAGCTCGGGCTCCCTTTGCTTGGCGGTCCAATTCAGTCCGAGACTGTTCTTTTCGCGCCGCTGCAGGGTCTGGAAGACAAGCGCGTCCACAACATACTTTGCAATGGCCGAGCCCGCAATCTGTACATACACGCATACACCTCAGCTCCGCAGATCCCCTCCAGGGGACGAGTCGGTGGCAGGCCGAGAGAAGTGGAAGGATGGGCGAGAGGGAGACAGAGATGGAAACCTGATGTTTGGAACTGACAGGGCGAATGAGAAGTAGCGAGCGGTCGAGGAGAGGAGAGAGGTGAGAGAGAGGGAGAGACAGACAGAGGGGGAGAGGGAGAGGGAGCGAGCGAACGAGGGAGAGGGGAGGGAGAGGGAAAGGGAGGAAAGAAGAGAGAAAGAGGGTGGCAGCGAATGGGAGAGAGAGAGAGAGAGAGAGAAAAAAAAAAAAGGAAGAGAAAGAGGGAGAGAGAGAGAGAAAGAGAGAACGACAGAGGAACAGGGAGAGAAAGAAAGAGAGAGAGAGAGAGAGACAGAGACAAAAAACGAGCGAGAGAGACAGAGAGAGTGTGTGTGCGTGCACAAGAGAGCACCAGGGTGGCGATGTTGTAGCGAAGCACGAGCTCCGCGCTGGCCGAACATGTGGCATTGCCCGCTCTTGGGCCCATTCTGAAATGGCGTGGAGTCTTCGACTTCATCGAGTGGCGTCGCCGTCGACGGTCCCCTCCCATATGGAATCGCCCAGAGAATACCATAACTGCTGAGTGGTGCGCAGTCTGGGGAAATTGCATGTAGTGAAACTGCCAACCCTCGCCATCCGTTTGCCTCCTAATAGTGAGGCTCGCCGAGCTCGCATAATGGATCGAGAACAATGCCGAAGACACGTCAGGCAGTGCACCGCGACGGAACGGCGAAGCCACGCCCCTGGAATGACAAAAAAAACTGAATTAGAGTGCGGGCCTGCGCTGCACCCTACCAGGTTGGGACGACCTGAGACTTACCAGCCTACAGCCAGTGCCGCATTCTCCCCTTGTCGCTCTTAGGTGGCACCGCGGCGCGCACAACAGTGGCGCTGACTTCTGCTGACCACCTGCATTGCTCCCCTTGCCGGTCCGAGAAAGGCGGCACAGAGCCCCAAGCAGACCACTCAACCGACACTTCCTTTTCAAACGAGACCACTCCCTTGAACCTGAGAGGCGTGAACTTGGAAATGAAAGCGGGCGCGTGTGCATGGAGCCGAACCGAAGGTCGAGCTGGCAGGCGGGTTCGCGGGCGGGCGGGCGGAGGACGCGGCGGTCGAGGGTGCTGCGTGCATGTGTGTCACTTCGACCCGATGCGAGGGGCTGTCCGACACGTGCCGAGTCCAGCTGGCTCGTGACGCCGGGCTCGTTCGGGCCGTGACTCGCCAGACAACCGCGGAGGGCACGAATCAAAAGAGCCCTCCGACTCGGCTTCGGAGGAAAACCGGCCCCTTCCGGAGGTCAGGAGATGGGCAGCGCGCGAGTGGGGGCAGGACCGCCGTCCACCGCCCCATGTGGACCGCTCCCCAAACCCTGGGTCCAAAACCATTGGCATCCCTGGCGGGCGCATCTTTTTAATAATTTGTTTTGTTGCTTTTTCCTTCCGCCAGCTTCCGCCGGCATTCCGCCAGCGGAGCCGCCCCCCGCCTGGCTCCTGCCTGGCTTCACGCAGGCCTTCCGCCTGGCCTCCACCGAGGCCGGTGTGTCGACTCCTCGAGGCCTCGAGAGCGAGGCCCTTTCTGGGGCCCTCTGCCTGGAAACCGCCTCCAGGCGCCTCGAGTGGCACGGAACAAGGATACTCTCCTTCTCCTTCTCCTCCTCCTCCTACTCCTCCTCCTCCTCTGCCCCTCCTCCTCCTCCTCTTCCTCCTCCTCCTCCTCCTCCTCCTCCTCCTCCTCCTCCTCCTCCTCCTCCTCCTCCTCCTCCTCCTCCTCCTCTGGACGGGCTGGGGTTGCCCTGAACGCGGGGCACCCTCGAGCGGGCCGATCACTGCCCTCGCTGCGCGCGACCCCGCCCGCCGTCCAAAGAGCTTTCGCAACTCCGATGCCGCTGCTTGGGCACTCTCTGCCGAAAGGCGCAAGTAGAAGACACAAGAAGCTGCACAAACACACACTTGCGGATTGAGGAGCTTGCTGGCCAAGCGACCCGCCGAACATCTCCCCAGGCCGCACAGCACTGCGGCTGGTTCTGCTCGACAAGGGGAGAGGCGAGCACACGGATGCACGCACAGATAACTAGGCTCTTGGCTCGAACTGGCAGAGCGTGGACTTCAGCGCCGCCAGGCCACCCGTGGCCAAAGCGCGCTACTTAAACCCGATGCGCGAATTATGCAATCCGAAACCACCAAGAGGCGCGATCAGGCGCATGAGATCCATGGCGCGGCTTTGAGATGCAGAGCTACTGGGCAGGGGAACACCACTCAAGGACACACCTCCTGAGCTCCTGAGACGGATTGGATTGACTTCCAGACCCACCCTTCGGAGAACGGGCCCACACATCGCGCTGCGCCCCTCAGACACGGCCCCGAACACAACGCAACCTCAACGATTGCCCAAACGTTTGGCAATTGGCTCGAATTGGTGGTTATCCAAATGCTTGACAGTGAATTAGGGCTTGTCCCAACCATCCTGTGGAGACATCGTCCCGCGTTCTCCTCCTCCTCCTCCTCCTCCTCCTCCTCCTCCACCTCGACCTCCTCTTCCTCCTCCTCCTTCCCAATCTCCCCCCCCCCCAGACGTTTGCATGCGCCCGCCCCACCCAGTACAGCGCTTCGTGGCCCCACAAGGTACTTCACCAGAGGCCCCAGTGGCGACGTTCGCGTGCGCCCGCCCCACCCAACACAGCGCTTCGTGGCCCCACAGGGAGCTCCACCGAAGGCCCCAATAGCGACGTTCGCGTACGCCCGCCCCACCTGGCACAGCGCTTCGTCGCCCCAGAGGGAGCTCCACCGAAGGCCCCAGTGGCGACGTTCGCATGCGCCGGCCCCGCCCAGTACCGCGCTTCGTGATTGCCTCATACGGAGCTCCACCGAAGACCCCCGCTGCGACGTTGCAAACGTCCACCCCAACCCAGCACAGCGTTTGGTGGCCCCATAGGGGGCCCCACCGGAGGCACCAGTGGCGACGTTCGCATGCGTCCGCCCCAAGCCAGACAACGTTTCTTGGCACCGCGGGAAGCTCCACCGAAAGCCCCAGTCGCGACATTCGCATGTTTGTGGCCTCGTAGAGAGCTCCACCGAAAGCCCCAGTGGCGACGTTCGCATGCGTACGCCCCACCCAACACAGCGCATCGTGGCTCCAAAGGCCCCAACTGCGACGTGCGCATGCGTCCGCCCCACCCAATACAGCGCTGCGTGGCCCCACAAGAACCTCACCGAAGGCCCCAATGGCGACGTTCGAATGCGTCCGCCCCTTCGGCGCCCCATAGGGAACCCCACCGAAGACCCCAGTGGCGACGTTCGCGCGCGTCCGCCCTACAAAGTACAACGCCCCGTGGTCTACCGGGAGCCTCACCGAAGACCCCAGTGGCAACGTTCGCCTGCGTCCGCCCTACCAATTGCAGCGCTTCGTGGCCCCATAGGGAGCTCCACCGCAGACCCCAGTGGCCACGTTGCGTCCGGCCCGCCGAGCCAAATGTTTCATGGCCCCACAGGGAGCTCCACCGAAGGCCCCAATGGCGACGTTCGCTTGCGTCCACCCCAACCCAGTACAGCGCTTCGTGGCCCCATAGGGAGCTCCACCGAAGGCTCAAATGACGACGTTCGCATGCGCCCGCCCAACGCCCCACCCAGCAC